GCGATGATAAGGTAAGCTTCTCAAGAGACAAGCGCGGTGTGAACGTGGTAGAATACTGCAGCTATATTATGGTTGCAGCACGAATGGGTCGGCTCGACCAGGTTAGGACCACGACGGTAGAATCACAGAATACCAGCTTAAAATAGCAGTTTAATGTTGCTGTGTTTCGTATTGTAAGTTTACAGAACCGGAGACCCTTTTTACTGGAAACGTGGCATTCTATCTCAGTCCTCAGGGGTGTCAACGCATCTGCATTTTAATCCTTAATTGAGGATAAATGTAGATATCTATGGGACCCAGCATCCACTTACTATCAGGTGGACTGTGTGCTCGTTTGTCACCCTTATTCTATTAAAAAAAAAGTGTTGGCCGACCGTCACTTGATAAAGTGACGACCTAATGAAATTTACAGGGAGTCGTACATCGACTCCCATCAAATTTCATTAGGTCGTCAGCAATTGGGTCATAGCCGTGCTTTATGTTAACCACGGGGTCAATGCTATGGACAAACCGTTAATTTCATGGTTAAAACATTTTTACTCACAGTAATTATATTCTGCTTGTTGCTCGATATAACTTTAATTAGTAGTTATTTAATGCGTATATGTACAGAACTCATTCGAAGTTTAGGTAACAAACTGGCAAGCTATAGTATCATTTATACCATTGCCTGAAAAAAAAAAGAAAATAGCTCCGCGAAAAGAAGCGTTATAGCGAAATAGCACCTGTTTTATTTCAAACACTCATCAAAGCCGATACGACTGTCTGGAGTTTCGAGTTTTGTAATGATCTAAGAGTTTCTTTTCAAGGTCCGAAAAGCGTGTCTCGTTATTTCATTCCATTATACATATATCTGTGTATAATATTGATACGTTCCGAATTTAAAAAATTAATTATTATTACAGAACACGATGAAAAAATACAATTTTGTCGGTCATATAATAATCGGTTATATACGTGGTAGAGCCACGCTACAGCTATATTAATAGCATAACTGTAGCACGAATGGGCCAGCTCGACCGGGGAAGGACCACGCTCTCACAGAATACCAGCGTAAAATAGCAGATTAATTCTGCTGTTTCGTATGGTGAATGTAGAGAACCGGAGACCCTTTTTAATGGAAAAGAGGCATTCCATCTTAGTCTTCACGGCTGACAAAGCATCTGCATTTTATTCGCAATCGAAGATAGATGTAGATGTCTATGGGCCACAACAACCACTTACCATCAGGTGGACTGTGTACTTGTCCTATTAAAAAAAAACAGGAATGATTCCGCTATAAAGTGATGATTCAATTTACTGTCACGAGTAAAGAAATAGCTATTTAATATAGAAATATAACCTTATTATTCAATATAGATTATAAATAACACTTATTAAAAGTTACTCTTATGATTAATTTACTACTGGTTGGGAAATTACCTCTGTACTGGGCAGAAACAGCAAGAAACCCAGCGGGACTTTTTAAGAAAAAAATAACAGTGTACAGTATTTTAATACCTTAAACAATTAACAACACAAAACAAATTAGTTATATCTGTGGTATATATGTTACGCAATATCTTCGCCAATTAAGAACCGTTTTCGATGATCCTTTTTAGGGTTCCGTACCTCAAAAGGAAAAAAACGGAACCCTTATAAGATCACTTTGTTGTCCGTCTGTCTGTCTGTCTGTCTGTTAAGACCCTTTTTCTCAGCAACGCGTGGAGGTGTCAAGCTGAAATTCATATCAAATACTCAAGTCTACTGTCCCTTGGAGCTGTGAAAAAATCAAACTTCTAAGCCAACGCCATCAAAAGATACATCCGTTTATGCCGCAAATTTTCGACATTCGCAAGGGAATCAAAACCTACAGGGTACTTTCCGTGAACTCAGAATCTTAAAATTTGATACGAAGCAACGTATTATAGCACAGATAAAGGAAAATTTGCGAAAAGCATACATTTTTAGTTACATTTATAATAAAATATTTTTAATAATTTTAAACTTATTTACCTACGGATTTCTTCGGAACCCTCGGTGCGCGAATCCGACTCGCACTTGGCCGGTTTTTATTTTATTTGAAAGCTGGTACTTCTCGTGTGTTCCCATATGAATTTGATCAAGGTCAGACCAATAGTTTTTGAGTTATTCTTAATAACTTATATTGAAGTCGGCTGTACAAAATTTTTAATTTTAAATTATGTTTGAATGGTGTTTTAATCGAGTGTGTTTCAAGAAAATCTATTTAGCCGTTTGAAGATCATCAGCTCTTTTTGTTTCGGGGGTTTTTTAACATTTTTTATTTAAGTTATTATATCTTTGAAGTCAGATTTTACTATTAATTATAACTTATTTTTAGACCCTTTTGAATGGACGAAGGAAAATCAGAATCTCAATGTCGTCTCAATAGTTAGATTAAAACTTCATTTCAGCACTCTTAAGGGTGGAATTTTTCACCAAATTTCTATGGGAACCTCTTTTATAAAAAAGTCAGCCTAGTGCGAGTAGGACTCGCGCACCGAGGGTTCCGAACAAATCCGTAGGTATATAAGTTTAAAATTATTTAAAATATTTTTATTATATGATGTAACTGAAAATTTATGCTTTTCGCAATTTTTCCTTTATCTGTGCTATATATAATACGTTGTGAAATCAGTTCACCCAGTAAAAAGTTATGAGGAAACACACATAAAAAAAACATACAGTCGAATTGAGTACCGTCTCCTTTTTGGAAGGCGGCAGAAAATCAAAATCGGTTCATCCGTTCAGGAGCAATGATGCCACAGACAGATACAGATATACACTATATATACAGATATACACTATATATACAGATATATACTTATATACACTACAAATATATAATACCCATCTGTTTTCGTCGGGGGTTAAATGCAAAAAAATAATTTCATATTCTGTAGTTAAGGATTTAATTATTATTCTATTCATTATATCTTAATACCTACTTTAGAATGTGAAATTATAAAATTATTTTTATTTCTTTAAAATCGGGTTATACTTTTAATTAGAAGTTAGTTTTTTGTCGAATGTTGGGTTGTTATAATATTAGTTTTATTAACTTCTGGATTATTAACATTTCGTATATGAGATATATATTGAATCAATGGCTAAATTTCTTCTAACTAAATGGCTTTATATTAAATGTTAATGTATTAATAAAGTTAACAGCATTGCTAGAGTTTTTAAATAGCATTACTAATCTTTTAAAAAAACAAAACCTAATGTAACATAAGAGTGAATTCGTGAATACGTTTTATAACATCATCAACATATCAGAAAATTGTTATAGGTAGAAGAAAACCTAGTACATAATTAGTGATTAAAAATATATTTGTCGTAGTCATATTTAAGTAATGTTGCCAACAAAACATACATAGATATTCTCTATTGGAAGTTAGTTGATGACTGGTATAATATCGACGCATATACGGGAACAAAATCTTTTTATATATAGTTTATACAGTACGCACATATTCTAGAATATCGTAAAATAAAGTAAAGTACATTTTACATTCAGTACAGTCTACATTCCACTGCTGGGCACAGGCCTTTCATTCCTAAAATGGTTTCAGGGCAGACTCACGATGACATCTAGCACCGCCGCGCATGTGGTAAATCAGCGCTTAAAATTGCAATTAATAATTTAAAATTAAAAACTTTGTACATCCGACTTCAATAAAAGTTATTAAGAATAAATCAAAAACTATTAGTCAGACCTTGATCAAATTTATATGGGACCACATGAGAAGCACCAGCTTTCAAATAAAAAAAGATTCATCGAAATCGGTTCACACAGAAAAAGTTATGAGGTAACACAAATAAAAAACATACAGTCGAATTGAGTACCGTCTCCTTTTTGAAGTCGGTAGAAAATTTCATTTGTGCTGGCGGGTATCGAACCCGGATTGCTTGCGTATTGTAAAATTTACAGCGAACGTTTAAAGCATCTATGGCTTTCTTTATTTGAGGTTTGCCTGTGTACATGTTGTGTCCCATTACTGGGGACCAGTCTAATCTTACTCTACGTAAAATAAAAAATAACGATATATCTTTAATTTATGGTAACTTGGAAATTAATTAGTGATTTCATAAAATATATGCTATTTCTAACCCTGAAGGAACACTCATCTGCTTCACTTAAAATGCAGTTAACGATATTGGCCGTGAAACGTTGACGCCATTTCATTTGCACATAATTAATAGGTCACTGAACAACTTGAATAATAAATAGAAAGAGGAAAAGTTCTGTAGCGTGTGATAATTACTAAAATTTTAAATTTGAAGAACGGAGAAATATCGGAAATAAACTATTTCATAAAACTACATTACATTACGAGTATGCCTGCAGCATCATAGTGCCGACTCTACCGGGGAAGGAACTACGTTCTAACTAAAAATATTTTGCTCTTCTATTCTACCTATAGTTTGCTTTCGACTATAGAGACACATGAATGATTTTATTAATAAAATAAACACAAAGAAAATAGTTTGGTTTTTAAAATACGTACTCTGGTAATAAAGTGGTTGACGAGAACAGACTTAATCGGAAAATAGACTATATAATTACGACGTCTGGTCGCGCCGCGGCGCCACCGTCTACGTTGGCACGGGACGTCCCTGTAGTGTTTGTTTGCGAACGTCTTCGCATCTGTTTCGTTAAACATCCGTCCGCTTCAGTGTTGGTCCAATTCTCTTCACATCCAGTACTAGTGGAAAATATATTGCATGATCACACTAATTAATTTGCGACGCCATTTTTATATCGTTTTTTCTTTGTGCTTCTTCTCTTCAGAATGATATCGGGGAAGATGATGCGGAAGTTTGTGGTGCTTCTATTCGATATAAAAGAAGTTTTCAGTGAATGTTTGATCAATGTTCTCCTGAAAGATAGAGTTGAGACAATTCTGTAACTCTTTTATGACATCGCTTCGTTCATTCATAAATCCGTAAGACTTAATTTAAAAAAATATAATGTGCTGCATTCGCTACATTTTCCTGTAAGACTGATCTCTAGAAGTCGTGAAGTTCCTTAGTGTTAGTTAATTGTGAACACCATTGCTATACCAGTGAGTTACATGCTTAGTACAATGTCTGGACTCAAAAGATGTATAAGCCAGGTGTCAATGTTTATGACAGGGAAACCGATAAATTCGTCCGAGTCTGCGTGGAGAGAGGAATTACAAAAGTAAGTTCTTTTAATTTTACGTGCACGTAACAATCGTATGCTTTTTAAAACGAATTCGTTTGCTACGTCGGTAATAAATAAAACTAGAGACTCCTGTCGCTCTTCTCTCGAATGTAATAATAGTGCAGTATGTGACTCACTAAAGCGATTTCAACGTAATATTGATTTAAAGAAAGCGAAGCTATAACAATTATATTTATATTATTTCATTTTAATTACTTTAATAAAATTATATTCATTTCTTAGAATCTGTAGAAAGTGCATTTGATGATGGCAGATGTAATTTCTTACGATGTCATAATAAAATTTAATTATTAGACCGTAGTAAACAACGTAGAGCATTTCTTTAAAGATCAAAATTATACAGTTTTCTCAGCTACGGCAAATAAATAATACTCACTAAGAGAAAAATAAAATAAAGTTGCAGCCTATTTACGTCCCACTGCTGGGCACAGGCCTCCTTTCATTTCTGAAAGGGTTTTAGGGCAAGTAAATGTCCGCCGCGTTGCCCCAATGCGTATTGGCAACATTTTCCAGATAACAACAGAAAATAATAAAAAACCAGCGTTTGCCAAACCATCTGTAAGTCTAGGAGGCAATCTAATCTTTCCCGGATTAAATTTATAACTTACAACTAAGGTTACGTGATTATGAGGTTTCCGTGGTAGAGCCATGCTGCAGCTATGTTATAGTTGTAACACGAATGGGTCGGCTCAACCGGAGAAAGATCACGCTCTCACAGAATACCAGCCTAAAGTAGCAGCTTAACGCTGCTGTGTTTCTTATGGTGAGTGTAGAGAACCAGAGACCATTTTTACTGGAAACGAGGCATTCCATCTTAATCCTCAGGGGTGACAACGCATCTGCAATTTGATTATTTATCGAGGATTGATGTAGATGTCTATACGCCACAGTACCCACTTACCTTCAGCTGAACTGTGTGTTCGTTTGTCACTCTTGTAGTATATAAAAACAGGTTATTAATATGCGTTGTACCTATTAAAGTTTAGAATAATTGTAATGACTATTCTGAACTATTTAGATATTTCAAAGTGGCAATGCAAAATGATATCAAATTGTCAATCTAAAAAAGAATGCACTAACATTACATTACTTGAATAAAAAACGTAACAGAAAACTGAGAAACTTATCCAAAATAAATACTTTCAATTTACAAAATATATAAATAAGGTGTATATTAAGAGGAAATGCAATTTTTATCTTATCAAAATTATTAAATAGTCTCAGTAAAGACATACGAAATAAATAATTTTCTGACTTCACATCTGTCAAATTAGTTAATTAAAATATAATGTTAATATTTATTATATTATATTAAGTAAACTTATGCCGTTGACCGCAACATCACTCAACAGCTGCGGATTAACAGGAATAGGATTTTGTAGCTGATATTTTATGTTTTTTGTAAACATACTTGTTCTACTTTATTGTAACCTACCAATTATTTATTAAATTAATAAATATTATATTCACCACTGGACTATTGATTTGTGGAATGGTTGTAATAAATGTTGAATATTAACGTATATATTAATATTATTTAGCGCATGCTTAGGCATTTTAATCTGTTACTCTGTCTTTTAGTGTGACCTGTAAAAACAGAGATAAATTAATGTTGGCCCTAGCAACTTATCTTACATTATATTTTATCGAGTTTTGTTTCGACTGTAGGGCAAAGTCCTTCTTAATTTTTTTACAATTCAGAGAGGTCAGACCTTTTTAAATGCAGTCGGTTATCGGTTTCTAGTTCGTCTTGCAAATAAAAACTAAGATTTGCTTGGAGCCGACGAACGCAGGTAGTTACCAGCCCATCGCCGTGTTTGTGGCAGGCAGCCTTATGGGGTCTCCTGTGATCCACAATAGTGTTGTGTTGGGTTATAACGATAACGGTGATGGTACAATATTCCTTTTGTAAAATTCTAGATATATATCTGTACTGTAGACCGGTTACCCAGTCGCTTTTGCAACGTACACAAATTAAAAAATTATAACAAAAAAAATTCCAACAATATGAACTTGCACAAATATTTTGTTTCATATAAAGTAATATTTATTATACACTAGTTCGTTATTATGTCGTCTATAAAAAAAAAGTTTAGCGCGAAAATGAAACTGGACATAGGGCGGTATCATTTGAGGGGCCCTAATATTAAGAAGTTATTGATTTTTCAATACCGGTTGGTATTTTCGTCTTCTATAAAGCAAACTTATACAAATATACGAGTAAAATTATTTCTCAATTAGTTCTTTTACTACATTGGAGATTTGTGCCACATGGGAGGGCGCCATTTAACATTAACCTCCTTTTGGTTAATGTAAATCGATTACCACAGTAGCACACCATAGGACTGAAATTCTACGAAATGATTGAATTACACTTGAAATTTAATTTTAATTTCATCGTAAATATTGTTGTTCGTCATCGTCAATATCGTTGTTCGTTAATCGGGGATTTAAAACAGCTTAATCAAGCTCAAACTAGTTTGAAATAACTGTTACAACAGCTATTATACCTACAATCTTGTATAATACTGAAACAGGTCTGGAAATTTTAAAGTTAATTTGAAAAAGTACGCCTCTGCAGCCTTAAAAGTAAAAATATTGTACAATATTTTCGTCTTCAGGTTTGTTCTCAAAAAAAATATGTTCAAAATTTAAAACTAAAACTTATTTCAAAATACTCAATATGTCTTGTTGGTTTTAAAAGAAGATAAAAAGAAATAATCAAAGATAATAAAGAAATTTTTAGACTACCTTCATCTTAATATCAATGCAATATCTCAAAAGTTTACATAAATTCTACAGCCACATAAACATACTTGTAGTCGGGAATAGCCTGTGTTTATTAAAACAAACAATTCATTCAAACGTTCTTGTTGATAAAGTTTTAAACACGTTGGTCTTATGTGTGTTTTACATTTACATTCTAACTGTACTATATATGTATATATACGATGGTCTTCCATATATACAGGGTTATCTTGCAATAACCGGTCAAATTTGCAAAGAATGTTCAGAATACATAATATAAGCAAATGGTGAAGATAAATTAATTAAATAATTTAAAATTAAAAATTTTGTACAGCCGACTTCAATATAAGTTATTTAAGAATAACTTAAAAACTATTGGTCTGACCTTGATCAAATTCATATGGGACCACACGAGAAGTACCAGCTTTCAAATAAAAAAAGAATCATCGAAATCGGTTCACCCAGAAAAAAGTTCTGAGGTAACACACATAAAAAAAAAAAAAAAACGAAAAAAAAAAAACATACAGTCGAATTGAGTACCGGCTCCTTTTTGGAAGTCGGCAGAAAAACCTCAAACATTCTGTCCTTTTTATCTTTTAAATTCTAAATGCATGGTAATGCGTTATTTTAACTAATTTTATTGCGCACGCACACATTCGTAAGGGTCGATCGGAAGGGAAAAACCACGGAAAATAAAAAACAAGTTTTTTATATTCCGTGAAAATTGTCAGACTTGAAATATTCCAGACTCGTAACGAGAAACAGAACCAACGCAATAAATATGTCTTCTGCCATCCAGAAACAGCACCAATTTAAGCAAAAAAAATATGTTATCTGATATTATTCAATAGTTTAGAGGTTTAAGTTTTAGGCTAGCCGATCTTACTCAGTTTAATTGGCTTTGTTCCGGGGAAGACTAGGGAAAACCATAACGTAAGAACGTATATCTCCAATCGTACAATGCCAAAATCTGGTACCGCTGATGCGCTTGGCAAATAAAGACCACGCAAAATATCTAAAAAGAGGCTCTTTAATATACTAGAACATCGTCTGGTTATGGACCACCATTTTACTACCAAGCGGCAGTAGATTCAGTATTAAGCTAATAGAAAATCAGTATACATTTTCCATCTCATCATCTCGTCCTCAGAGGTGTCGGCGTATCTGCGTGTTTTTTTGTTTGATCTTGTTTGCAGTTGCCCATGGCCTCTTATTGGCTATTAGCCATCGAATCGTCGACGACCGAGTTCTTTCTGATCGGCTTGATACACTGGTACTACGTAAGAATGTTGCATCCCTTTGCATTTTCTATCGAATTTACCGAATTGTTCGGATTAATTCCAGCCGCCACATCGCGTCAAAATTCACGATACCATACTCACCATCTCCAGATGGTTGGATTGCTTGGCGGTCAACGACTGAGCGTTTTACTAGGAGTTTTCTTCCTCGTACAACTTCTCTGTGGAATTGTTTACCACCGGCGATTTTTCCGGACCGATACGACTTAGAGACCTTCAAGAAAAGAGCTTACAGCTTTCTAAAAGGCCGCCAATGTATCTGTAATGCCCCTGGTGTTGCGGTTGTTCATGGGTGGCGGTAGTCACTTACCATCAGGTGAGCCACATGCTCGTTTGCCCCCTCTTCTATAAAAAAACTTTAATAAAATACAATATATAAATAAATCATACATTGTTTTTATTTGTGGTTCCTGTATATTATAATCCGCCGTTTTCAATAATCCGCCGATGGTTAGGATTTTATAGTGGCGGATTAGCGAGAGAGTACTGTATACGCGTCAAAGTAGTGCGCTATACCATTGCCACGTTTTTAGAACAAAATAAAAAAAATACAAACGCATCCAACGTTCCTTTCCCGCGCTCTAATTTATGGTTGCCTTACTTTAGGATCTTTTGTGACTCCAAACGCAATTTAAAACAAATATTTCACCTCATCAAAAGGCGTTTGTTCTGAGTCAAGATGTTTGCAGTTTCTGTTAGTATTTAGTAATCACTGGACACAAAGAATGTTGTTGTTGGATTGTATACAGTGTAAACAATGTTCACACAATACGGTATTTAGTACTGGCTACTGGATAATGTATATAAAACTTAAATGAAAGCTTTCCGTAGTACCTAATTCCATTTGCGCAATGGAAATACTTCACGCAAAATGAACATAGTTTAATATTTGACATATAGTACAATATATTGGATCGTTTAAGATAAGGATTTTATCAACTGAATCCAGACTGTTAAGTCGGCGTGATAGCATAGCAAACACATATAAACGCTAAATGGAAACCACTCGTAAAGTATTCAGAAAGGATTTTCTGATATTCTTTTGTTTGACTAAGCGTGACAAACACATTCTACATTATTTCACTGTGTTCCATATAAATGCATGTTACCGATCTTTTAGAAAAATTTTGGTTATGTCAGGTATTCAATAAGCACTTCGTAATCTTATTTATAACACTCTATCACCTCATTTTCTGCTTTCCCTACTTCTTTAACAATATATGTACTCAGTTGATAGGTTTCCTTATAATACTTTAGCATCACTAGATATTTTGAGGGTGCTCCATTCGTAATATTTGCTGAATTTGTCTAGTCTCTTTTCATGGCAACAGGAAAAAAATAACTTTAATGGAGCGCCGTCCAATGACGTTGGCGTCTGCGACTACAAATTAACCAAAAACTATAAAAAGATTCCATCCCCTGGGCATACATTTCTAAATATTATGAAAGCGATAAATTATTTGAGGTAGTAAAAATAAAACTGGAATTTATCTTTATAAAGGGGCGGTAGTATTTGGAATATTTGTAGCTGTGTGACATTTCTACCGCCATCTGGTGTCGAGAGAATTTTCCACAACACGAAAGGAAAATAATCCAATCTCATTTGTTATTGCAATAAAATAAAGTACAATATATCAATCATTAAAGCAATTCTCAATTATTTGATAGCCATTTAACGATATTATATTTATAACTAAATACAATCAAGGTCTTTCGAGAATGCACATGATTCATTGTAGAAATAAGAACACTCATTATCAATAAGTATAGTAATGAAACTAGTAATTAATTAATCAGAAATGTCTCTTCGAACAGTTTTGCTAATCAGAATTTGATCACCGTTGCAATAACACATTCTGTATTTTTCAAATTCAATGGTTAAGGTTAATGCAAATGCGGAGAATTTGCTGTTATTCTAATAAAAGTGTTCGTCGTTCAAGTACTATAAAGTTAGCAATCATTAAAATTTGAAACACGGTAATTTTATTTCACAAGAGAGTAAGATCAATGTCCGTATAAGCAATTATTACAGGATGCAAACCCCAATTACAATTGTTTGGTGCATGAACATTTCTATTCTCATTGTGTACATTCATTTGATGTACACAATGAGAATAGAATATGTTAGGCGTCACACAAGTGGAGTTCACATTTAAGTTTCAATAAAATTTCATCAAAAACTATTGTCATCTACTTAAAACTATAATTTTTATCTGGAGGTAGCCGCCTCAGTCCGTGACCTGTAAAGGTTGCTGTAAAGTGCTCGAAACTTCGGGAATATAAAATAAGTTAATATACGCGATAAAATCCGTAAAAACTAGTTTTATTTAAATATTTAAAACTGTTTTATAACATCTTTGTGTGTGGTAAAATAAATTGTCTCTAATTATTGAAAAGATAGATATTTAATAGTATGCGAGCAAATCAGTTTTACTTCTCGGTGGAACAACGTTAGTAGCCTAATGGCAGGACGTGAACCGCTAACTCGAAAGGTCGTGGATTCAAATCCGCCATTCGACTACTGTCGTGAACCACTTCTAACACAAGCATTTAAAGCTTACCAGAAGTGGTCAAAGGGAATATTAGTATCTAATGTTTAATAGCATTACTAGTATTTAAAAAAAAGTTATAACCGTTGATTTACCACGTGCTCGATGATAAAGGAAATATCGTCAAGAAATCTCCTTCCCTAAGACATTAAATTCATTTATTTATTTATTTAAACTTTAATGTACAAAAAATAAAATCGTACATATGGGGGACTTAATGCCTTAATGCATTCTCTCCCAGTCAACCATTAGGCTAAGCAGAGATAAACTTATGGGAGTTAGTGTAGCAAAAATAAACTAATAAAGAAAAAAATGTTTACGAAGTTCGGATAAACCAGAATATACTTGTTTATAAGGTATTCTATACATATGTCTTACAAATGTACATATAAATATATTGATACAGACGTACAAAAAATCTAAATCTACTTAAATACATTCAATATATAAATATATACATAATATTATATATATTTTTTTTATAGGATAAGGGTGACAAACGAGCACACAGTCCACCTGATGGTAAGTGGTTGCTGCGGCTCATAGAGATCTACATCTATCGTCTACTACAAATCAAAATGTAGATGCGTTGTCACCCGTGAGGACTAAGATGGAATGCCTCATTTCCAGTAAAAAGGGCCTCCGGCCACCTGCACTCACCAAGCGAAACGCAGAGGTAAACCTCTACTTCACGCTGGTTTTCTATGAGGTCGTGGTACCACCCCGGTTCGAGCCGGCCCATCCATGCGACAGCAACAGCTGCCGCGTGGCTCTACCACTGCGTAAAATATATATTTACTCCATGATAAATAAGGAAAATATTTTAAATTCGAGGATATGAGAAGTCCGCCAATACGCATTTAGCGTTAAGGATACTACCCTACTTCAAAACCTTCACAGATATGAGAGGCCGGTTCTAAGAAGCGAAACACACATAATCTACTACTTTACTTTTTTATTTTACCAAGAGATATCTAGGCAGTAGCTGGCACGTAGTTGATTGGAAAATTGTTATGAAGTTTTTCTTAATATGGTTCAACAGCTTCGTTCTATATTTTTAAACATCTTCATTATTTCATTTTTCAGTCCATAGCTGGATATGGGGTTTTCTCGTTGTAGGGAGGACTTACCTTAATCGTTACGCTTGGTAGGCGGTTTGACGTTTGCAGTACGAGATGTCTCGCACATTTGACACTGCTGCCCGACGCGGGTCTTGCTATTTTACGTCTGGAGTAGAACACAATGAAATGAGTTAGTTGTTCCGCCAAATATCGAAATATTTATCTGATATCTCACAGTCGTTTATTACATCCACGGGACGAAATGGGTTGATAGATCTCTTTAAATTGGCACCAGCCTTTTTAATTATTTATATCAATTTTTTTTTACTTTTCCTATAGATAACACATATACGACTATTTATGTAATCTATTGAAAAAGGTGAAAAAATCCATAAAAATACGTGAACCTCATTGAACAAAACAATTTTTTCGGATTCTATCGCCTTTAATTTATTTATTTAAAAAAATAGTAGTAGCAGTATTCGCGTAAATATAACAAATCGTTATGTGAACTTGATTTTTAGGAAAGAAAGAAAAAAGAACAAAAAAGAAAGACATTTTATTCGCCACTACAAAGCAATACACAGAAACTAGCAAACTATACGGAAAATTATTAAATAATTAATAATTAGTTTAATTAAAGCAAGAAAATGCATTGACGATACTGGTAATTTATTCTAAGCATTCAAAGAATTTGATCTCAACTAAAGAGTTTGACTTAATCAACAAGCCTGAAAAACTATGGGTTATTACTATCGACTTGTTGAAGCAATTCAGTACTTTTTTCTATGTATAATCATACTAAAATAAAACGTTTATTTGCAGATACCGCCAAGCCCGATACGCAGCGAGACGTGTCAGAAAACGCGTCATCTTCAAGCATGGAGACTGCAACGTCGTCCAATGGAACGTAGCCAAGCGCAGGCGCCGATACCTTCAGGACATCTTTACGACCCTCGTGGACGCCCAGTGGCGCTGGACGTTGATGGTGTTCTCTCTTTCCTTCATTCTTTCCTGGCTACTGTTTGCGCTCATCTGGTGGCTAATCATCTTCACACACGGAGACTTGAACCCCCCGCCCCCAAGCAACACAACCACCTTCGTCCCCTGCCTTAACAATGTCAATTCCTTCACCGGTTGCTTCCTCTTCTCCGTTGAAACTCAGCACACTATCGGTTATGGCTCCAGAACCACAAACGAAGAATGCCCTGAAGCTATATTTGTAATGTGCATTCAGAGCATTGTTGGAGTATTTATTCAAGCTTTCATGGTAAGAATTTATATTTTATTCAACGCTAAGATAGTTTACTTACTGCTGAAAAGATTAATTTAGTAGATACTCCTTAATCCGTATACCCAATTGTAATAGCGGCTTGCATATATTATGCTTAATTTTTTTTATGGATATACGGGTAAAAACGAGCACACAGTCTACGTTTTTTTTATAGGATAAGGGTGACAAACAAGCACACAGCCCAGCAGATGGTAAGTGGTTGCTGTGGCCCATAGACATCTACAGCAATCCTCGATTAAGAATCAAAACGCAAATGCGTTGTCACCCGTGAGGACTAAGATGGAATGCCTCGTTTCCAGTAAAACGGGTCTCCGGTTCTCTACACTCACTATACGAAACACAGCAGCATTAAGCTGCTATTATACGCTGGTATTCTGTGAGAGCGTAGTTCTTCCCCGGTCGAGCCGACCCATTCGTGCTAAAACCATAATTTAGTTTTAGCATGGCTCTACCACGTAAGAAACTAATTTAACATTAATACGTTGCGGTGGTAGCGTAAGCAAATCCATCATCCCATTCGGTCCCGTGGGTGTCGTAAGTGGCCACTTTGGGAAATGCCAGAAAAACGTTATAACTTTCGATAGATAGCAGCATTACGATCTCGTTTATTACGTCACATAAAATACCCGAACCAGCGACGAACAGTAACGTCATAGGTGCGCGACGTTTGGCACTGCGATCGGCAATACGCATGCCAAGCGTGACGATTAATCTTTTAACCTTTTACAAAACGTTACCGCCACATTGTGTTTTTTTTTAAATTAAGGAATGACGCTTCAATCGAATCATCAGTTATTTTTTTTTAAAAACGATATTTATGATGATATGAATGATTTAAGAAAAATAACGGATTCAGAACTCGAAATCAAACAATTTGTATTTTGCGAAAATATTGCCTCCTGCTAATTCGAATCCCGCGACCCGCGATGGATAATACTATGCCACGCGGTTAAGTCAATAATGAGATACAAAAAACTGAAGATACCTAGCATTTGCACGGTAGGTACTAGCACTACTACTTCCTTGTCAATTACTATTTTTAACTTAGCCCACGTGAAGGACAATTTGTAAATATGTATATATATTAAGTATATTTTATGGGCGAAATTAGTAATGAATAACGTCTACCGCATGGCGGCGATTTGCGGTGTGGTAGTGTGTGTATTAAGAGTCTACCACCAACGACAGATGAGACCCATGTTCAGCAGTTGATTTTTCGGACTGATATAAAAACGTTATAATAGAGTTTATCGTACCCACATTTATAAACTGAAATCCGATAAGATTTCCGACTTTATTTAAAAATATTATGACGTGAATGTCGTTGAAAGGGTTATTAATTCTTGTAGTAAATTTTGACTGAAATACCTTCCTGCTTCGTAGCGAATAAATTATATTAATAATAATATAAACTTGGAAAAGATCCAAGCGTATTAACGCATTTAAGTTTGATCTACATAGATGCTCTCTTAAAAATCATTACGAAAAAGTCTTCACATGGTATTTTAGCACGTTTTTATTAAGTCACTTTCTGGTTTGTCTGTCGTTCCGGTTGGAATTTAGTAATTGATTTGAAGCTAACTTCCCGTTGAGCTGGGAACTTGAAATTTGGAATATAGGTCAAATTCGGATGGCAATACAAGAATATAATAAAAAAAACGTGATAAAAAATTAAAAATTTCTCGTTTTTTTTTTAAATTAATTTTAGCTGAAATATGTCAGGAATACTAAACCACGTTGATTTGTATTGGCCTTATCCATTTTGCAAGCCAAGCACGTCTCTAAGTGATAGCGATGTTTCGAAACGTTATTGGGGTCAAAAGAACAAGTGGTCTTGTCTATCTGTTTTGTGTGCAGCCATTGCGGTGCTATATCTACAAATTGTTCTAATTTTAGGTGGGAATCGTCTTCGCAAAGCTCTCTAGACCAAAGAAACGGGCCCAAACCCTGCTGTACTCCCGAAATGCTGTCGTTTGCTTACGAGATGGACAGCTATGCCTGATGTTCCGTGTTGGTGATATGAGAAAATCGCATATTGTAGAAGCGCATATTAGGGCACAAATTATTCGCCGCAAGGTATATAATTACAACAATGCGGAGACTGGTTAGTGATTGGGGATTTCGGTCAGCACGCTTTTCAAATACATTTAACCGGATTGGGAAACATCAAAATCAACGCACTACATAACAAAGATGTCGAATTTTGAAGTATTAAATACATAGTAGATTGTAATAAAGAAGTAAAAAACATATCAAATTTCGACTATCTTCGAAATATTTTGAATTCGATATCACTGTTTTTGTGTTTTCCTTAGGTGGGTCTTATATTCGCGAAGCTAGCCAGAGCCAAAAAAAGAAATACCACGCTCCTCTTCTCAAGGAACGCGGTGATATGTTTAAGGGACGGGGAATTTTGCCTTCTATTCCGAGTGGGAGACATACGAAAGTCGCATATCCTTGAAGCGCATGTTCGCGCCCAGATTATTCGGAAAAAGGTACCACTGATAGTGCGTTTCTTGAACATTCTGTTAATTTTTGCCGTTGTTTCGATGTTATGAAATTGTTTTAAGTTTGCACTTATGTATGCCTTTTTACTGTAATGTGAAGACCCATCTATGGAGATGCATCAAATCTACCACACAATAGTTGCCTATACAACATCATTCGCAGTTAACATTCATTTGTTTTGCTAACAAAAAATTGCATGTCTTGGAATAAATACTTATGATACAACTTAAAAAACATGTGATGTTTAGAGATATACTAATGACATTTTGATACCTGTCTGTGTTGAAATTGTTTGCTTGCTCACGCTTTCTCGTAATAACACAGAGTAATAACATACGAGTACATGTTTGTACTTACTCTGAGTTCTTTAAATTCAATTACTCTTTGATTTTCCGTGAAAAATACGATGATTGAAAGTAACATTGAGTTATATGTACTACGTACTAGAGAAGCCATTCCAAACAAAAATTGTGTCCTACTCTATGTCTTCGCGCATGCGCGGGAGTAGTAGTCGCGCATGCGCGAAGACTTTAATTTAATATAAAATAAGATATTAATATAAAATAAATATAACAATTTAATATAAAATATCTTAATTTAATCTAAACAAACATATTTCTAAAGAAAATGTAATAATAATTATCTTATGGAATTCACAAATCTTCAATTTACGCAATATTTAGTTTGTATAGATTGCACTACAGTTCAGTTGAACATAGTCAATGTTCGGAATGGCTTCTCTAGTACGTAGTACATATAACTCAATGGTAAGTAACGATTATTAACGACAATTGTTATTGATGAAATTCCTTAATGTTACCAGTGTATTTGCAATAAGAATTAAAAAAATTGAATTTTACCGGAAAATTATAGTAAAGTTAAAAAACAAATACTTACTTTATTAGCAAACTAAAACTACAGTATTTAGTTTGCTAAAAATAAAAATTTATAGTAGTATTCTATTCTCGCTTCAAGCTTACAATGATTTAAAATGTTTGTGTTACATTCGAGGTTGTGGTAACATGGTAATATCAGTCTCTTTTAACATCTAATTTTTTTTTATTTTATAAAAATATAATATAGTTTTGATACATCTTCAGATAACACGAGAAGGCGAGGTACTACCATTCTACCAGGAGGAGTTGAAGGTGGGCGCGGATGGTGAAGAGGACAGATTGATGTTCATTTGGCCCATGACCATAGTGCATAAGATCAATGAGAAGTCGCCGCTCTACAATCTTTCTGCTTCTGATATGCTGAGAGAACGATTTGAAATAGTTGTTATGTTGGGTAAGCTATATAATAGACAATTATTTATTTTATATTAGTAATTATATCAAGTTTATAAGAAAAAATATAACAGAGCCCTAATATAATTTTTAATTAAAGTCATAAATTAAATATCAACAAGATTATATGATTAATAGAATCAGGCGTTACTTTGCGGAAATCCATTATATAAAAGCTTTTAGAAAAATTTACTTCGCAAATATCCGCGTTATAAAATAAAATGATGTGTCTTACCTAGTATGAAGAGCACCTCCCGCCCTCCCTCAATTGCGTGCACTATCCCCGTCACCACTAAGTAGCGGTGCTGGGATTAGTGGTGACGGGGATAGTGCACGCAATTGAGAGAGGGCGGGAGGTGCTCTTCATACTAGGTAAGACACATCATTTTATTTTATAACGCGGATATTTGCGAAGTAAATTTTTCTAAAAGCTTTTAAGATTATATGATTTTACATTATTAACTTTTAAGTTCGATCTGGTTGACTGACAAAACATTTTCAATCTTAAATTTTATTATATTAAGAAAGTTGTATTAGCGTTTACATTTAGTATACGGCATGAAATAAATCACAGATATACTTTCTACTTTCCTTCTCCTTCATTGCAGTTTTTAAACAAACCACTACTGAACATGGGCCCCCTATTCCCCCCTCTGTTTCTATTTTATTTCTTCTTAATTGTTTTATAATCGTCTGTGTTTGGACATAATTACCCTGTTATTATTTTATTAATATAATTGGTGATTATTAATAACTTTGTATGCGTAGTACTTTAAGTAGCTTTTCAACTTAATTCTACTTCATAAATCGCATTGTTTTTTTTTAAAGTACGAGTAAAAGGAACTTATTAATTTTCAAATGTATTAATTAATTATTGCATGCCGTAAGCTAAAGCGCATAGGTATGCTCTACTACCTCCTAAAAATTAAGATTCCAACGTTTTGTCGCATGAAATCGTATCTAGCAATCATATTTTTTCTTAAGTGACTCCGTTCTATTTCATCCATTACAGCCTATAAAAGTCCACTGCTGAACATGGCTTATGTTCCCTCATAGATCGCTTCATAGATTTTGCTATGGTTACCATGCTTGGCAATCGCAGCTTTTTTATTTTGATCAGCTTTCATGAAAATGCTGTTTCAATTTGCCTCTGTTGCCTCTTACGATATATGGTGGATATTCTTACACCGACGCTACACGGTTATATGTTATGTCACTAATTCTCACCAATTTACAAAGATTTTACTACATTCTTAAACAAAATCTTGCATAAATATTTCTTTCTTAAAAAATCTGAAAAACGGTTGACCCTGCAGCCCCTGGAACTTCCCGCGTATCGCTTGTCTACTTAATTTTTGTTTTTTTTTGGTTTTTATTTTTTGGAATCTTTTTGAATCGGCTCGACCGATTGACTTGAAAATCTAATCTGCTCGAACTCTCAGTGAACACTTTCGAACGCCGTGTCGCCCATCGCGGCTAGTAATATGTATAAGTCAATGGTTGATTCGCTGATCGTATGACAAAATTTTATTACATACATATGTACATACTTTACACACACACACATACACACACACACACACACACACACACACACACACACACACACAAACACGCGCGCGCGTACGCCGTTGGACGTCCAGCTGAGGATAGTCGGAATGGCTTCCTAGATCCTAGAACCTCAAAACGTGGAGACCTGATGAAAAATCGGACCGAAATCTAAAACTTCCTACTTTTGAAAATTATTAATTTTCAAAGCGGGAAGTTAAAATGTGAAAATCTCAATTACAACTTTCGCGTCTATAGTTTCACTACAATCTACATTTACTTGGCACTTCACCGACAGCGTTTTGGTAGTTTGCCCTAAACTTTGTATAAAAATATGTACATATTTATCTAGGTTATTTATATTCGTGTAACAGTTGTTCAACATACGCTATATTAATGTATCAATTGTGCATACTATACTATGTATATACATACGTACCTACATATAAACATTGAACATAAACAAGGAAATGTGATGAACATGATAGAGAAAAATATTTCAAATATATAATTATACATGTATATTTATCTATTAGTTTAGTTATGATATTTAATCGCTTTTACCTAGCCAGTATCAATCAAAACTGTTTTAAAATATACCTCATACTTTCATACACTTAAAAAAGTGTGGTTTGTAGTTTGTAAGTTTTTAAGCATAGTTATATATTTTGAAGTTGAACTACGCTGCTGCTTGTTAAAGGTTAAAGCTATAACACGAATGAGAATGTGGGCCGGGGAAGGACCATGCTCGCACAGAATACTAGCGTAAAATAGCAGCATAATGCTACTATATTATATAAGTATTATTATTATTATTTATATATAAGTATTTCGCTTAGATACGGTTTATGTTTCTGTTTCCTCTGTGTCGCGCCGTCTTGGCACGTGCTGCATCTTGTCAAAGGCGCCGCGCCACGCCGCCGCGACTTCAAAGCTCGCCGCGTGCGGCGTACAACCGCAAGACAATTTGGCATTTTAAAACGAAGCGCCATAGTGAAAGGTTGCTTGCTAACTAACTTGTGTTTATTATTTATATTCGTATTTTATTACAATTATCATAAGAGTAAAATAGCATTCTATTTTATTCTTAGAATATAAAAACATTTATGTAACAAACACGTAAGAAATAATAAAAAAAGTAAAATAATAAGTGTGCCTCCGGGTGTACCGACACTATCTTAGTGAACAGATTATATCGTCTATTGAGTGACAAGAACCGAAGGGCAAACTTGTCTACGGGTCACCCCAGCTTAGACCTCATGGGTGACAACTGACAACGCATTTGCGTTTGATTTTTATAATATGATATAAAATAAATGATACACACACGTAGGATTGGATACATCACATAGATCGGGTTTATATTACTTAATTGTTAAAATCGGAATTATTTTCGTCTTTCTGCTTTGTTGTTAATATAGGGCTTATTAAATCCTATCTATTGGGGGAGTTTCTTATTAAAAAATTAGTAGACTATTGAGGAGTTGATAGTAACCAGATGAGGTCTAGTTTGTCAGCAATGAACGATTATTTTTTTTTATTTGCAGAAGGTGTAATTGAATCGACTGGAATGACCACGCAAGCGCGTAGTAGTTTTTTGCCATCAGAAATTCTATGGGGACACCGCTTTGAAACCATGGTGTCATTTAGAAAAGACACTGGGGAGTATGAGGTGAGTAGTTTTACAAGCCAATATACCTACATTATGTCATCGGCAGATTAAATGGTCCGTTATTATACTCACTGGTTTCTGAAATGCCGGAGATAAATTGTAAAGTGTAATATAGAATTAGGACTTCCGTTAATTTTGTCAAAAATACGAAATCACCTATCAAGTAATATGAAAGATAGGTTGATCACTTAAAGTATTAAGTAGCCTTTACATTATTATATTTACAAATTATATTTAAAGACACAGTGATATGGCGGTAAATTATCGATAAAATCATGGCGGACTTTTAGCGAAATTTCTTGGCAGAGCGTCTGTCATCATTACTTTGCTTTCGGCATTTCGCAAATCAGCGAGTGTTTGCAATCAGACGATGCCGTTTGTATAGAGAAGAATCATGCAATCTGCCGACGATATATATATTTATTTAAGTAATCTGTACCCTGACTGCCAAATGTGGTAACTATGGCAAGTATCCCTTCTATGATGCAACATATGGGGGAGGCCTACGTTTAGCAGTGGACTTTTTACATAATGATAACGGTAAGTTATCTGTGGTCTTGACATTTCTGTAATAGCGTTCAACGAAGAACAAAGAACTCCATATTGATTACTAAAATATATACAAACGCTATAACACACATGTCGAAAGAACATACAAATAATAATAAAAGAGAAGAAATGTTTAAAATATAACAATATATTATAACTCCTCTTCTTTATTGAACGATCATCATTTCTCATTTTTAACACAACAAATTTTGCCGTATAGTGTTATTGTCACCTCATAATGTCCCGTGGATGTCGTGAGAGGTGACTAAGGCTAAATTTCCTATTTTTTTATGTGTGTGGGTAAAAATATCGATTTACATCGACGATATTTTTAATCGCGATATATCGATATTCTATATTTATTTTAGATTTGTTGCTTAGTGTTATGTCGAGTAATAAAAGTTTGTATTAATCGACATAACACTAAGCAACAAAAGCTATGAAAGCATTCATATTCTGTTGTCATGTTTTTTTGTCGTCTAACCATCAGTAACAAAATTTTGGGTCTTATCCTAGTACACCATGCAAAATGTGCCGTATTATCGATAAATCGATATTTAACACGCGATATATATCGATACTGTATAAAAATATCAATACGATATATATCGATATATTTTTTCACTTGCCCGTCTCTAGTCCAAAATATCTTTTAGCTGCGTTATAAATGCCCAGATTGGCAACTGGAAGCATTTTGGACGGTTAGATAGCTCAAAATAAACCTCTACGGAGGGGACATGATGATTGGTAACAATACCAATTCATAAACCATCATCATCCTCATCCTCATCCCAACTACCGCCTTTCCACTTTTAAATAGCCCTGTGTCCGATGAAGCTGTAAGAACCGCGTAGGTTAACAGCGTAAACATCACAGAAAATAGTGGTAGCATTTTCGTAGGTGCGATGCTGTGGCACTGCCAAGCGTGGCCATTAATAAATCCTACAAAGGGTGAGGCCCATATTTAGCAGTAAACTTTTGGAACCTCATTAAGAAGAAGAAGATAAATTTAATGAATCGTTTTATTGCATTTATGAAATAGATATATTATATATGTAAAATCGACTTACAATTGCACAAATGTGCCTTTAGTTTATAGAATAGAATTATTTGATTGTTGCCTATTAATTGACTAGGCAGTTGGTCTTGTGTTGCTGCTGATCATGCAGTCCGCAGTTCGGAACCCGTGTCGGACTAAAGTCATGTTTTATTGTCAAAAAAGTTTCGTTAGCAGCCCGATGGCAGGAAGTTTGTCTGTGTTGCACCCCCGTGCCTCATAAAGCACGTAAAACCATTACAGTTGTGTCGAATTGCCGTCTCATTAGACTATGAGAGTCAAGGTTCTGAGCGAGTGAGTTCCTTTTATGATCAAGCCGACTCATTCGTGCTGAGGCATAATACAGTGCGGCCCTACAACCTATTAAAACTTGCTCACGCTCAGATACAATATTTATCAGGTCTCTAAATTTTAATTATAGAAACGTACGTGGTAGAGCCATGCTGCAGCTCTATAAATTGTATAGTTGTAGCACGAATGGGTCGGCTCGACCGGGGAAACACCACACTCTCATAGAATACTGTGTCACTGCTGTGTTTCCTATGGTGAGTGTAGAGAACCGGAGACCCTTTTTACTGGAAAAGAGGCATTCCATCTTAGTCCTCACGGCTGTAAACGCATCTGCATTTTGTTTCGCAAACGAGGGTAGATGTAGATGTCTATAGGCTACAGCAACCACTTAACATCAGGTGGACTGTGTGCTCTCTTGTCACCCTTATCCTATAAAAAAATTCAAACCTGCTATTTGATTTTCAGGTGGACTACACGCGGTTCAACAACACATACGAAGTGGACACACCATTGTGCTCCGCCAAACAGCTCGACGAACTGCGCGCTACCGTCTCTACCTCGCAGAAATTAGGTAAAAGAAATTTTAGCTTCATCACCTTTACCTTCAGTAGCAATCGTGTATTATATAGGTTATTATTATTGGGAAAGAAACACCGCGTCAAAAATCTTTTTTTTTCGATTTTTCTTGGCAAATTATTATTTTATACTGTTTAATATATATATGGGTACTATCTTACTTAATATTTACTTATTAATTACGTGTATAAATTAATAAAAATCGATGGAATCAAATTGAAATCAAATTATTAATAATCGATGAGTATAATGCCTACACGTCCCTTTTTCCTCTGACGCACTGTAAATAAAACAGAACACGGTTGGACTTGGACCAAATTTGATAGTATTTGTCCACATTACATATACATTGTGTTTTTCAAGGTGTTGTAAAATCAGTTTGAGTAGCGATTTTCAACTAATAGCGAAATCACTATCTCGAAAATTTTCAAAAAAATTCTGACTAACGACGGAAAACATCGATTAAGGCTTCTTTTAATTCAGTGCTACTGCGTGCCGTGTGGAGGAGAGTTAGAAAGAGCATTCATCACCCCGTATCCATATTAAGTCAACTATAAAAATACCAGAATGAATTTATGGTATCCGATAAATGTCGGTGTTATATTTATCTCATATAATCTAGGTGTGAATAATCCAGACCAAAATTGTAACTTAGCCCAACAATGCGATTACGGTAAATCCTTCCTATGCAGTGATGTTTAGTAGTAGAATGTTACATAATGTTAAAGAAGGGGAAAAAAAGAAGAGAAAAAATACGACAATGCCATCCGCATGGACACCAGTCCGCTTTCTAAATTACTTGTTTACGGCAAATCTTTCACGTCCCATTCTTCTAAACATTGCGCAGTATAAAAGTTTTATTTCCTTCATTTCAGATCCAGTTAAAAATTAACGTTAAAGTAACTAACTTAACTGTACCTATTATGGAAATTACTATACTAAATATAAATTGGACAAACCATAACAAACTGTACAAACATAAATAGTTAAAAATATTACAAAAAATTAAAAAGAAATACTAAGACTATGCTGATTTGTACTCGTATTTAAATTTTTTTATAGTATAAGGGTGATAAACGAGCACACAGTCCACCTGATGGTAAGTGGAAGCTGTGGCCCATCCATAGACATCTACATTTATCCTCAATTAAGAATCAAAATTCAGATGCGCCGTCACCCCTGCGGACTAAGATGAAATGCCTCTTTACCAGTAAAAAGGGTTTCTGATTCTCTACACTCACCATACGAAAGACAGCAGTGTTAAGCTGCTATTTTACGCTGGTATTCTGTGAGAGCGTGATCCTTCCCCGGTCGAGCCGACCCATAATATAGCTGCAGCATGGCTCTACCACGTAAAAAAATGTTTATTATTTTCAATAAAATATTGTATTCGCTCCCAGTATTTATTTAAGTATTTTATTGTGTTTGTACTAGAAATTTCATAACTAGAAATAACTTTGAAAACTCTACTGTTTTTTATAGTCATGTCGCTCCGGCACTTGTAACTCTAAGCTACCGTGTATTACTCAGGCAAATGATATGTACATTTTTCTATAATTTAATTACAAATCAATCGAGAAATAAACAATTTTTAAACTGTAATTCCAGATCGCATGCTAGGCACAATACCAAAGTCATTCTCTAACGACACACTGGATCTCAGCTCCGTTGATTCAATATCCCTGGACGAACACATCGAGATCAAGATCCCAGAAGCCAGGGTTCGCGAGAACAGACTTATGGCGCAGACCAACTTCGTTCAACACGTCAATGAAAAACTCAAAAACGCAAGCCCCACATATTTGGCTGTTGAAAACGGGCAAGAGATGCTACCGAAAAATCTCTCCATGACTGGAATCAACGCGGAAATGAAGACTTCTGAAACAAAAGACGGTCACATGCATAGGAGTCAAAGTAACGCCAGCTTCAAACGGCCGCACGGACTCACGCCCAACGGGATCGGATACAACGGACACGTACACAAGGACCATCACAGAATGAAAAAGTAAGCTGACTTACGAACTTATTCAAAATTTATTTTATAGCACAACTCGACTAATCAAATTAAACGAGAACTAGACTTAAATGTCCTAAAGTACCACCTCTCTTATTATAACACACGGGATCGATAATACATTCATGCTCGAGTTGTTTTTAACCAACTTTAAATGAAAGGGGTTCTCAATTCGAGTGTATGTTTTCTGAAATAGGTTATACGTCAAGGGTGGTCCCATATAAAGTAGGAGAAAAAATTTCACCCCTAAGGGTAGCAAATAAATAACTTCTTTTTTAGCAATTTGAAGTTACTTTTCGTTAAAAGTTATAATAATTACCTTTATCGAATAGTAGAAGTGGTGAAATCGTGATGAGATAGTGGCAAAGATATTATTTTAATAATATTAGTGTGATGAAACGATCAAATTTCTTGGGGGAGGTCTAATATTCAGGCATTGATTGTTGAGGCTTGTTACGGGTTGTAGTGATGTAGATGAAGATGATGATGATGATGAAGATCAAAGAAGTCCAACTGATAACAAGTGGTTACTGAAGCTCATTATTTCGATATATTTTGTAGATGAATATACTAACGACGATGATGCGGTGAAATAACTAATTCTGGTCTTGCAAGTATTATCACAGAATAAATAATAGTACTAGTATTATTAAATTATTGCAAATATTGTTAAAAATGACAAAAAATATTAATAGACATTTGATATTGTATTGAAAGTTGTAATACATGAAATCGTACATAGCATTTAAAAAAGTAATAGAGTATCTTTCCGATTCTTAACCGAGAAGATATTCTTCTTGTGGACCGAGGTAGATATTGACGTTCATAAAAGATTTATATAAACCCAAAAATTTATGAAAATTTTGACTTTTCACTTTGTACCGCTAGACTAAGATGAAATGTCTCAACGATTAAACTGGCTCTCTCACAAATCGGAACACAGCCGTAAGTGCGCTATTTGACGACATAAATAGGTAATAGGCTGGTACCAAGACAAATTTCACAACTACAGACAATTAAAAATTTAGCTCTATCATCATATATATATCAAACTTATTTTGATTCGAAATTAAGGCACCAAGATATTGTTAATAACATTGTAACAATCTTTAAATCATCGAATAGAGATTTCAAATATTATAATGCTCTTTTTACAGATCGCCCAGCGACAACCACATTGTGGAGAAAACGCCAATCCCACCAATACCAATATTAGTGACGTCACCGGAACCAGAGCCTGCATGACAGAGCCGCGTCCGCTTCCAGCAGCCACTTACACATACACAGCATACAGAGCATACCTACACATAAATAGTGACTACCCTCCTTTAGAAGATTAAAAAACTACCATTATACGGAAACAACTGCTACACGACTACTATAGCGAAGGCTACACGAGTCTACATTAATATACTATTGTCTAATATTGATTAAGACAACATCTCCTAATTTTCAATAATTACCTTATGAAAATTAAATGTTATTAATATAAAGAGCTACATACCTTTAAATTAAAAACCGTCTACAGCCGTCATATACAACTACTTGTATACATACGATGTAAAAGCTACTTTTTGCTATTCTGAATGTGTTTTATAAACTATTCATGAAAGAAGAGAAAAATTAGTACGGGATCGTAGTTAAAAATAAAATATTTGCATAGTTCAATTTAAATTCTAATCTATATTCGAAATTATGTTCAGACGTGGCGCATTTTCAGAAGCTATTTTTGTTTTTAGTTAAATCGAATTATCCTTGGGTAGCAATATAAATGCGTTGACCCATAACTACGCTTAATTGTTTTATATAGATATATTTATTTAGATACGAGTATTACGCAAAGTAAATATATAATTATTTTTCTAGTTACTGTTTCTTTTTTATCAAAATATATTAATTCTTTAAAAATATATTAATTTTCTTTCACCAAATATTCCACTAAAATATGTCTTCTTTTTGTTAACATTTAACAGAACATAGTGTAGCATTTATCACGTAGACTTATTTTATCGTAACAAAATTGTATACATTGAATAAATTTATTTTACAGATTTTATCACGATTGTAATATAAATTTAAATATATTTATTTGCCGTTTAAATCACTTTAAAGTAAAAATTAAATCTTATTAGTATTATTTAATGTGTATTAGTAAAAATAAAAATATACAGAACAGCAAAAAAGTGCCAAATAAAACAATATAATAATGAATTGTTTTTTTTGTAAATCTAAGTCAATTCTTTTTACTATCTTCACTTACCATCAGATCATCTTTGTCATCAGGTAGATTAGTAGTCAAGCACTTGCTGATAATAGTTAACAAAATGATATTTACATTTTTTTCATGTTAACTGTCTTAAATCTCTGTAAGGTAATAAAACAAAAGTAATATCTCGTATAGTAATACCTTTCAAAGTTATATTCATTATTTAAATAAATGTACCTATATGAGCTTAAATTCGTATTATTGTGATATTAATTATGTATAACTTGCTATGACATATTCTAAAACGTATACGATATAATTTCATTGTTTAATCCATGGTTGAAATAAGGAGTGAAATTAACTTTTTTACGGTATTGTAAATTCTAAACTATCAAGAATAATAATTAACTTTTGCTTTTGATCTCTAGCAAAGTTTCAACCATATTTTTATACTCAAAAATCATGTATATTTGCACAAGCGCTTACAGAATTTTAATATAAAATTGATAGTTTCACGATGATGTCGCCAATGAATATAGCTAAGATCAAATTGAAAGAAAAACGTTCTAAATTAATCCTGTAATATTGAGGTTATCATATATCACGTAATGAAAAAAAAACGCGGCTGTATGAACGTATACGCAAAAAAGACTGTTTCATGTATTACTATGAAATTAATGTTACTATCGAAAATATAATTTATCTTATTAATATATTAGAGCATCGATGGGTCCAAAACAAAGGATTTACAAATATGACGGTGTACTTTCATTAGGCTTAGTCCCGAAAATGATTTCGAATTCGATTTGGTTTTCGATTCAACTTATTTTGCTTCGAACCAGAACTCGATTCTGTCGGAGGTAGGCCTAAAATGCGGTATGTACTTTGACTGGTATTGCAGTATTGTTAAGATAAATCTTACGTGCTTGTGCCAAATTGACGTTAGGTTTAATTTTGTTATTAATATTTAGTGAAATATTACCACACTATCTATGTTAAAAAAATCGTTATTGTGTATTTATACTGACTTCCAACTTATCAATGTACAACTTTTAAAATTAACGACTTGAAAACTAAAAATTACAAGCAAAACAGGGTGTTTAATAGAGTACTTATTTTAAAATTTTGTGAAATTAAATGTTCCGGACATTAAATCGTGAGCCTTATTTTAACATCCAGCTTATGTACTTGTGCAACTTAAATGTATATGATACGCACAGAAAGCTTACTTTCACTATAATTTGTTACATAGTATTAACGAAGATTGTGAGGCCGTTTGTGATAGTCTTCGGTGGAGATCTATGATCAATATTGGATTCCTGAAAGGCTGTAATGAATTATTACAGTCTGTTAAGTTTAGTAACCATAAAAGTCCGATGAAAAGATACTTAGCTGATTTTGATTTTTGTGTGGATTGTTTGATAATCTTGCGACAAAGATTAGCTTGGTACTTTTTATTCTATTAGAGTGCATTAGGTGAATTAAATTACTATAAACTTACTGTTTTAAAATATCACTTTTTTTTAAAATATGACAATATTTAAAGTCTATGTAAAACCATAAAATTATACATAATTACTTAATAACTGACATATTTTTCCAGATATGTACCTATATTGATTGTATGGCCCCGTGATTAGAATTTAAAAATATTGAACCTTAATTTAAAAAAAAAGTCGGCAGTTTAACTGCACCGATAGATTTAGGTAAATTTGCCCCATGGATGACTTAAAATAGGTTGAAATAAAATTTCGACCACACAACTGTTGTCCTGCTTTATATACAAATTGTGCTATTGTAGACGTTCCTTCTGGATCTAATCCAAATTATTTTACTCAATTTTTAAATAGGCAGAATAGCTCTTGATTTAAAATAAACTGCCTAGAAGTTTAATTTTGTATTACAAATATACTTAGCTCTTATTTACATTTTATAAAAGATTATACTGAATGTATTAAATGTATATTCTATCTCATTCGAAACAATATTATTGGGTAGTTTTGACTAATACTTTTAAAATTAAGTGTTAGTTTTACTAATGCTTTCTTCTAATAGGTAATGCTATAATTTATATCATGCTATTATATGTTTAATGAATGAGCGGTGTTTTCAATTTACTGCACTTAGAAAAAATACTATTACGTTTACTCCAATATGAAAGGCCTGTAGCAGCGCGGGCGCTGCCAGTTTTAGTCCAATGAAAAAGCTTTGTATTTTCAAATTTTAAGAATAATAATAAAACATGTATGAATATTGGTTATTGTTTTATTTTATTTTCACCAACAATATTAGTTTATCATTTCTTAAGAAATTTGTAAAGAATAAATGGTATATTTCAATACTACCATAAGAAAGAAGGTGCATTATTGCATTCACGTTAAAAGTCTTATGTTCTAAAGTGTCTTAACTATTAATTTTTTTAAAGTCATATTATTTACATTTACATATTAGTTAAACTTATATCTTTATATAAACAATACATACATAGTACGGATACAATTTTAAGCATTCATATTATATAAATAATAGTTTTTAATACCTATAAATTTACTTCTCCTCAACAATAGATGGCGTTGTTATTTTTATTTGAAATAGCTTGTTCGATATCAAAATAAATAAATATCTAACATCTTTACGACTAGCTAGATTGAACATTTAATTAAACGCCTTTTTCTCCATCTTTTCTGGAACTTTGCTTCTTTTTTTTCTTCACATTTACTTCGTCACTTGACGACGATGACTGATCTTCATGACTATTGAAGTAGTCGGGTGGATATTTTACAACCGCAGGCCGGTTTGTAAGACTAGCTCTTCTTATGGCATCCACAACGAGTCTATCAGCTATATTCATCAGAGGTGAGCCAATTACCGGTTGGCCGTTTCTGTAGATTATCTCTTGAGGAATTGGCGCGTTCCCAATAAAACCTGTTAATTACAGAGTGGTGTAAATTTACAATTTGTTTCATATTTCTCTACTGGTTACATTTAATATTACATAAACATATAATAATCATAATTTTGACAAATAAATCTAGAAGAAGAACATAAGAATTTTCCATCTGTCATCACTCGTATACTTCCATAGAGTGTTTTCCCTATGCTTTACTGGGAAGACGGGTTCGTAAGAGCAGAGTTGAGATCATTATATTAGTAATGCACCTTCTCATCAACAGACAATGCAAACAAGGATCGACAGCGTTGAACTTTCACCAACGGTCGTCAAAACTCCGTCGTAACAAACGTCGTCCGATAAGCAGAGTAGGCATTGTGCAGGTTAGATTGACGTTTCTACAATATAATAGAATATTATATAAGTTATACTGCCACCTGTCGGAAGCCATAAGATCTTTCTGAATTTTCTCGTATTCGCACCTTACTACACCCTCAGAACTGTCGGTCACGAATTATTTTAAGCCGCCACCGCACGGCATTAATAATATTATATTAAGTTATAACAGAATTCTAAGATAATTATGGTTCCAAATTTAAATTTAAGCAAATAAAATGATCACCGTGTATAGTGGTGGCTCAAGACAATGCATCACTCCTTATGATCCTGTGATATATCATAAGAGGCGACAGAGGCAAACTGAAACAGGAGACGGACAGGAGCATCTTCCTGATAACAACTGAATATAAAAAATACTGCGGTGAAAAACTCGTCTGTTAATCGTGGTAACTATGGCAGAATCCCTTCTATGAACAAATTTTAGGATCCAATGTTCAGCACTAGACTTTTGATAAGATGTAGCGAATAAATGGAATACTAATGCAACGTCCTCGGAAAATATATATAATACATTTTTAACGTTTCCGTCATAAAAGTTCAAAAGTTTTCTAATCCTTTAAATTAGAACGAGAGAAGCGTCTAATGTGCAAAAAGCATTGTTACTGCTTCGCAAGCAGCTACTACGACAAATCCTGTCTGAATAAAGAGGTCTATGTCCAAAACCTTTTCACAGACCGATGTTATTGACGATAATGTATTAAGAAATGGTTAATCAGTCTTTATAATTGATCGATTGCTGGATCTTGGCTTTTTCTATTTGTATCTCAATCGCCTCGCTACTCTTGGCTAAAGGGTTGACGATGGCAGTACCATACGTTTCGTACCTTTGGCGCTGCTTCCGGTCAACAGACTGGGTTTTTTACATATGGGTACTACTACTATACCGAAATTTACTGAAGCCAATAATATTATCGTAATTTTCACTTTGTCGATTCTTACGACACCCACAGAAGAAGCAGGATGGCAAATTTTACCTAGCTATGAAATAGAAATATTTTTTTTTATTCAACGTAGATTATAAATAATACTTATTTAAAGTCATTTTTATGTTTAATTTACCACTGATGCCAAAGAAAATTTTGTATTTTATATGGTGAGTATCACTCACCATATAAAATACAAAATTTTCTTTTGACGGCACAACCGAACGTAGTATGTATAGACATTTACACATTTATAGCTAAGCACTTTCCATCACCAACATGGAGCCGCAACAAAACATTCACAACGTGCAGTATTCTTTACTACTTACGTTAATAATTGATATTATATTTTAAGGAACCGGAGTTATGGCTTATATTTCACTGCCTATTTATTTTTGTTTTTATTCAATTTGTTATGTAATTAAAGGAATAAATTAAAAATAATTCTTTATCAAATTGAAGTTCTGCGACCATTGACCATCTTTGTTTAAGCAAAAAGCAACATATTTATTTATTTAATAAACCTTTACGTATTTATAGCAAGAAATCAATCAATTTTAACATGAAGGGTATTGTAAATCAAACACGAATCAACGTCAAAACATAAATTATCTTTCAATATTTACATACAACAGCGTAATAAATATATTTATTCCATTTCATCTTTTACTATAAGATAAAAAGGATATTTATACATCGAAAACAACTTCACTATTACATTGTGACTTGTTGAATAATACCAAATATCATCACATTTTGTACTAGAAATAAAATATTAATATTACTTTATCACCTACATCGTTAAGGCACATTTACGAGTTATGGTTTCATTTACGAGCATAAGAATAAATAATTTTACACGTTTAGATACACTGGAATGTTTATTATACAGTATTTGCACAACCTTTTAGGTTACCGAATTTCTTAAAACTGTAATCACAAAATCACATTTAATCTATTAAATGACTAGTAATTAAACGGGAATGATACGACATGAACGTTTATCAGACTTAAATTAACATCTAAATGGAGATTCGATTAATTAATTCTATACTTAAACGTAAGAGCATTAGCTTAGCTAGGAAGAAGATAATATATAAAAGTAGTATTTTGTTCGAATTTAAATTATCATTGTAAAATAAATAATAAGAAAAAAAGTCTTTATGTACGCTACAAATTTTTCAAACTTTGCTTTTACTATTTGAACATTTTGCGAGACATCAAACAGTTTTGGCTGACACATATTATTGATTTTGTCTTAGAATTTATATAATAGTTTGAAATTTATTTTGAAACGTAAAGTCGTGACGTTTTCTGTATGAAACGTATACTAATGTAAGCTATTAGTGGAATACATTAATAAATTATAAGCCATGGTGGATATGATGAAACAAGTGCT